TTTTGTTTTAATGAACAATAAAAAAGACTTCGCTGACTTTCCTGGTTTCAGTATTGTTAAAATATAATTTAACTTTAGCATGGTTTGATAATAGTATTAAATCAGAAGAGTAAACTTAAGAAGTTTTAATTTTGTTTTAATTAGAATGAATTGAAGATTGATAATTGTAACTGACTTTATGTGTAAAGAGAGTGTAATAGATTTTGGGTACCCTTACCTTCTTCTGTGATGATATGACTTCTAACTATATGTTTTTTTCAGTTTGTAATAAAAGTAGTCAATCTAGAATCTAAAGTCTAAAATAAACAGAAGTTAATAAGTTAAATGCTTTGCCTATTACTTGTTTATAATAATGTTTCTCTTGGTGGGATCATTCACTGGGCCACGAGCCCAAAACACAATGCACTTACGGTTCTATACACGGTTATAAATTTGAGCTTGGTGAAACTGAACCTAATAAGGTATATGAGTAATAATACATAAAATCCCTTTTATTAATTGAAAAGCATTTGAATCAGTTCTGCCGATAAATGAATGAAACATAAATATTGTATTGCAAATGGTACAATATTACAATATCATATTGTTACGATATGATAAATTCCCAGCTGTGTTAAGATAGCTTTAGAAAGTGCAAGGAAAGGCAGATTTGCCATACTTGGCGCGAAATCGCCCATTTGGCGACAAAATCGGCGATATGCCATAGACAGAGCGAGGTCACTGCAAAAAGAATTCCTACGTTTTTCAGTAGCGTCTCCGTTCTGCGGAGCTTCAGGCACGCGCAATACACATTTTTTTCAGCACGGCAACCTTCGTCGATTAGCGACGAATGTAGGCTTCAGGCACGCATTATTAATAGCTGTGAATTGTGTGTGTGTTCTTATTTCCGTATACAAAAAATAAATGTTTAGAAGCATTTGCAGTATAAAAAGATTATTCAGTATTGTTTGCATTAAGAATTACTGATTTGTTATTCAGATAAACCCAGAAATGCGGAATTTATTTACTCGGAACTTAAAAGCTTATGCGAAAACAGACATTCTTTCTTCAAAACAGATGCTATTCTTTCTTCAAAATAGACATTGTTCTTTGTTCACGTGTTGATGTTAATACTGTAGCTATTGTGTTGTTGTTAATACTGTAGCTATTGTGTTGATGTTAATACTGTAGGTTACTGTAACTGTTAATAATCAATTTACTTAACCGTATTTTATATTTATTTCCTAATGTATTTTTGTTTGATATTCCATCCTATATTTGCTGTTATAAAATTTATTTGAATTCATATTTTCCAAAGCCATCTCTCATCCAAATAATTGTTGAGTGCTTTGCTATAATCAATTGATTTAAACTCATTTTACAATTTTTTTCTGATACAGTTTTATATCTATTTATATATCTATCAATATTTTCTTATATATCTATATCAAATATATATATTATACTATGCACATCTTTCTATAATCCATGTCTATATTTTCTTGTTGTTGATTACATTATCTTACCTATTAGTAATCCAAAAGACCATTATTCGTAATCGATCCTCTAATGACTAGGCTTACCATATTTTTTTGCTCAAACTGGAAGAATTTTAAGAGAAAACTCACACAGAAAATAAAACCTGAAAAGCAACTACTAAGAAAAAAGGATATAGGGTTTATATTTATTTTAACTAACATTTATTTTTAAGTTTAAACTATCTTTCCTGTTAAGCCTTACTTTCCCCTGGAATTGCTAGTGCCAGAGTATGTAAATTTTAGTAGAACGCGCAAGGATTCAAATTGTCATCGGAAGTAATCTGAGTTAAATAGAAGGGAAACGAGTTCGAAAGTGTGCTTTCTTGCTTCGCGAGCGTGGAGGTGGCTAGTTAGAAATTGAAGAACCACGCGTTTCGGCCTTTGTGCTTGTCTCGGCAGATTGTTGAATCTTTGACAGAAGTTTTCTGAATTATCAGCGGTATTTTAGAACGCGGTGAGGTTAGTTACGTTTAGAGAGCCTCGTAGTTAGTCACTTGTTACTATTCTTTTTTTTTTTTTTTTTTTTAGTTTCTTATTTTTATTTTATCACCGGGTCGGCGTAGTTTGTGAGCGTCAAGAGCACGCATTTGTAATTTCTAAAGTTGAATTAAAAGGGATTTAAGCCCTTCTCAAGACTTTGTCTACTTTCCAGTTCTCAGCAGTCACCACTATTGTTGCGTGCAGGTTGGAAGCGCGCAACATTACAAGGAAAATAAAGAAGGATTGAAAAGGCTAAATAAAGAAGTTATTAACAAAAAACAACAATGAGTTAAAATAAATTTTTAGTAATTCAATATATTATTCGTTAGCATTTATCATTAGTGTCTAGTGTTCACATTAGTGTGAACTTTGTTTAAAAATTCTTTATTATTTTGAACAATATTGAAAAATTCACTGCAATTTAGTTGACTATTAATTTTGCAGCTTAGTAAAGCTTTTACTGTCGATTCAGCCAGTTTACCTCTTCAAACCATTTTTTTATGACAATATAATTGACAATATTATTTTCATTGCTGCTTGTGTGTCTCGCCTGCTTGAAAATGTATTCTATCATTTAAATGGCACTGTGCAATGAAATGGGTTTTTCGTTGAAATGATTGACATTTTTTATCCATTTATTTCATCAAAAACTTCATGCATATTTATTGTATAACTTGTGACAGTTTAATTAATTTTTTGATTTGAATCTTCAATTTCAGACCATTTTAATTTACTGTTGTCTATTCAAATAAAAGATTCTACCTCACCAAAACTGTGTTCCCATAGCTCAGTATAAGATAGACATCAATCAAAAAGATTGTAAATTCTTTGTAGGGTTACATTGATAATAATATTTCCATTATTTTCAAATAAAAAACTTATTTTTTCAGGTACATCATTTTTACCATGTTCTGTGCGTTCATGTGCACGAAGCAGGTTTTGTTTTGAAAAAACTTCCTCACAATCATCACATGTAACTTTGCGAGCAGTTTTTAATGTAGGAGCTAATTCCTCTAATTTCGAAGGATGGCACTTAATAATATGCGCCTGTAGCTTTCGTCGAAATGAATAGGACTTCAAACATTCCAAACATAATAAATTTCTTCCGTAATAATCACACGAAATATAAGACACAAGTAAACTGGTAAGTCAGGATTATCTTCGTAGCGTGACAATATTTAGTGAAACAACATTTACTCGCCAATCTTATGATACATCGCCAATAGTGTATAGCGGATGCCAGCCTATTACGCTAGCGAAGCATATCACTGGGCATGCGTGAAGCATAAGCCCCGCAGAACGGAGACTCTACTCCAGTCTTCCCGAGATTGTTCTCAAAAACTAGAAATACCTTGCCGGTACGCGGAGTAGCAGTTTTTCTTGAAGAGTATCTTAAGTGTGTTGAGTTTAGTAGCCGTGCTTTGAGTTTCGAGTCGGCAGCGGTAGTTACTTTTCCGCGAAACTATCTTCACCGTTATAGCCCGATAGCCTGAGGGTTTATCGTAGTTTTTCGTCGACTATAACGCACTTTTTGAACTCTCATATGTAATACTGACGAATAAATTGTGTTTTGATTCTTCATCAAGTGTTCTCATCAATACTCCAAATACCCGAACCTGCAGAACGCAACTATATAATTACGTGCATCTTGAACCTCTGGTAAAACACAAACGACCGTTAGAATCTGGTAAAGCATAAACCGTTTTTAGTTGATTATTAATAGTGTTACTTAAAACCTTTTGTGAAAGATTAGAAAACCAGTTAGTAAATTTTGTAGTAGTAAATTTAAATCTCTTCTTTTGTCCTAAAGCTTTAGATTAACAATGGATAAATTTAGATAATTTACCTCTTATTGATCTGAGTTGGTCTAGTTTAATTTCAGCTATTCAGGGCAAATACTGCTCTTTCCAATAAGACTACAATTCTTAAATGGTATAATATTATCAACATATCTGTATGTGAAGGAAAATTTTTGTAAATCATTATTTGGTAGTGAACAAAGAAATTTGAATTCCTTAGAAAATTAATATAGATTACACAGCTGCGATGAGTAATTCGCCCCCATTGGGATACCTCTTACTTGTAGAAATAAAGTATCTTAAAATTTAACATAATTATGAAGGAACGCGTGATTGAGAGAGTTTTTCCAGCTATTAAGATCTAAAAATAAGCATGTCTGGAAAACATTCTGTAAGTTCTAAACGGCTTCTATAAATTTCTTGAAGTGGTACAGAAGTGTATAGATTCTCATAGCAATTGACATTACTTATTTTGAAATTTTCAACTGCATTAATAATAGGCATTAATATTAATAATTTATGTATATGTATATTAAATAGCATAAAGATGTTACTGAGTTCATCTAACGTCATTTCACGAGGCCTGCTAGCAATTAAAAACGATGGATATTAAGAATTTCGTTTATTGCTTTTAAATAGCTTAGTATTTCGATTAGTAACACATATATTAAATTTTAAAGAAACATTAACTATGTTAAGGTTTGCTGAATGGCAACACAATGGTGCGTGGAATGTAAAAATAATTTATTTCGGGTAGTGTCAATATATTGCTTTTAAATCGCCAAATTCGTTAACCAACATTTCATTAGGTGCGCACAAAACGTAATATAAGTATAAGGAAATTCAAAATTCAAAATTCGAATTTCGAGTTGTATTAATTCAGGTGAGGAACCACCTGTTTTCAAAATTTGTGGTCTAGGTGTTACACATTGTTAGGAACATACAAAAACATTCCTCATTACTGAATAATACAGAGTGTTGTAATTGCTTTGTGTTACTGTATTCTAAGCTAAAATCTGGTCAAGAATTTGTCTGGCAGTATAGGAAGGTTACCAAATGTTTAAATTGTCTGTAAATACGATGTAACTTAATAAATACCTATCATTCAAAACACGTCATCGAGGCTGTGATAAAAAGGCACATTTTACAATTATATTTACATGTATTATGCTGGTATTTTTATGTCTTTTTAAATATACTTCAGGTGGGATGGAGTCTATGGGATGGTCTTATTCCTTCTTTGGGAATGGGAATCAAGATAGTTCTGTACTGTGGTAGCTGCTACTTCAAATGGAATGGAGCAAATATATGGGATATTATTGCCAAGTATAAAGTCTCCATCACTTATATAGTACCCAGCGTCCTTGACAAATTGGAAAAACTTCAGGTTGTGCCAAGTAAGTTAATGTTACTCTTCGCTCAGATCAAATTTGAGAATTTTATTTTCTATAAATATATACGACATTTATATTTCTCTGTTGTGGTAGTTTTGACAGAACTGCAACTAAAATTACCAGTATAAGGTGTTCACAAGGTGCATGATTAACTTTAATAGCTTTTACTGTTTGGGAATGGAACAAATTATATCCTTTGGCAGTGCTCACACTTTCACAAGCAAGGCTTGTTTGAAAGGTTTTAAGACAAATGGCACAAGGTGCATAACCTCGCCATGCGACAAAACGACCGCTGACGGTCCTCCTACTGTGGGAAAATGTAATTAAATCAACATATCCAGGTAAACTCTGGCTCTTATTTTTTATTCACAGGAGAAAAATGGTCCTAAAATTTAGTCATGCATCGAAGTAATCATTTTAGGAGCTCCAGATCCTCCCATTATTTATATATTAAACCAAAAGAAGTTCTTGGGGGAAAACTTAGTAACGCCACAAATATATAGCTACAGTAACGCCACAAAAACAGATATAGCTACAGTAACGCCACAAAAATTGACAGCACTAGCTCTTAAGCTTGGCTAACAATGTGTTTTAATATCATAAATGGTCTATGCCGAGCTTCGTTGCGAGGTAACCAGGACTTACTACATTAAAAAAATTGGTTAAGATTTTGCCTAACTAACTTTTCAACTTTATGCCATTTGGCATAAGAGTTGACTAATCACAGCGAAGCAAACATCGATTCACGGTTTCGTTCAGCTACACACTGAACGTTCTGCTTTCGTTCAGTTACACATGTGCAACTTCCCCTTCTCTAATTGGCTGTGGCTTAAACCCTTGCTAAACAGGTGTGAATGGATTTAATGACTTTCATACCTTAAACCACAAAGCTTTATGACGACAAAACCGTTTCTGAGCGAAGCTTTACAGGGTCCCACAGTAAAAGGATAAAGTTGTTCAGAGACTTAGTGGACACCCTATATATCACAATTATAAATTAACAAGATTGCAAACTCTGTATTTTATACTTTAAATGCAGTTGTTTAATATGCAGATGATTACAGTTCATTGATTACTAATATGTCGCAATTGTTTGCTCTATTCAAATTGTCAAATTTGATATCATTTATTCATATTAATCATATGCTGCTATAACTTGAGGTATTAGATTCGAGTATATATAGCATCGTAATAGGATAAATACAACGATTAATCGATTCCTCGATGTTCACGGAGATATATTGACAGAATGTCAGTGTCAAAAACCGGTTTGCAAAATTTCGATCTGGCAATTTTGATCTTGAAGATGCACCACGTTCTGGAAGGCCAGTTAAAGCTGATAAAGACACAATAAAGGCATTAATTGATGCAAACCTGCGACTAAAAATTCGTGAGATGGCTGAGAGATTAAATTTATCGAATTCGATCGTTCATGATCATTTGAAACGCCTAGGTTTAATCTCAAATCTCGACATATGCACTCCTCATATTCTCATGAAAAGAAATTTATGCCTTCGCATTGACGTTTGTGATTTGATTCTCAAACGTCAAGAAAATTATCCATTTTTGAAGCATATCATCACTAGGGACGAGAAGTGGGTTGTCTGCAACAATGCTAAATGCAATACGTCATGGAGCAAAAACGATTAACTGGCTCAATGCACTTCGAAAGCCGATATTCGTCAAAAAAGGATGATGCTACTCGTTTGGTGGGATTTCAAATGAATCGTTTTTTTAGCTTCTACCAGACAACACAAAGATCAATTCTGAAGTGTACTGTCATCGGGGGGACAAATGGCATGACTCATTTAAGCGGAAGAGGTCCAAATTAATCAATAGGAAAGGTGTAGAATTCCACCAAAATAATGCCAGAGCTCACCCAAGTTTGGTAACTCACCAAAAGCTTTCGCAGATTTGAGGTATGATGCCACTAAAACTAAACTAAACTCAGTGGCGCAACAGCCCTAAAGGGCAAGCAGCGCTAGTGGGCCATCAGTGCCCCGAAATCTGCTTTCTTGAAGGTGGGCCCTGGGGTGCGTAAGCATATGCCCTAAACAAGTGGTCCTCTTGTCGCAGGACCCCCAGTGTTTAGTCCTCAAGCGAACTTGGTACTCATTTTATCCACCCAAGTGAAGGAAATCAAAGAATGAAAGGCTGAGTCGACCTTGCCCAGCTCGGAATTCGAATTCCGGACCTGTTGTGCTGCTATGAAATGTGCTAGCCACTACGCCACCGAGTCTTATGCTGCCACACCCACCGTATTTTTCACATCTGGCACCTCCTGATTATTATTGTTCCGGTCTCTACCTAATTTTTAGATGATAAAAATTTTACTTCAAATAAGGAGGTCAAAAATCACCTGGATAAGTTTTCTGCCGTCAAAGAAAAACATTTTATGAGCGTGGGGTTATGCTACTGCCAGAAAGATGGCAAAAGTTACTATCTGGTAGCAATGGTCCAATACCTTTAGTTAAAGATTGGGTGGATAAAAGACGAGAATGAACGATATATAATTCAATAAAATATTTATTCATTATAAGAAAATCTTCTTTAATTTTCATTAAAAAAAACGAAATTACTTTTCCTACAACCCAATACGTATGGGTTACGGTTAGCCCAGCATATATTTCTCGATGCTAAGAAACTTTAGAAATGGTACTGTAGACGGAAATTCGCACGTGAATCGATTAATGGGAAGCACTGAAAACGAATTTGCATATGGAAAACGATACCCTCACACTGAAATTTCTGAGGCAAAGCGATATACATGGGAAAACCCATTTAAAAAAGGAGCAAAACATACACCTGGAATCCATGTGAAATTACCTGTCAATCTTATCCTCTTAGCCGTTGATGATCATGAGTGTAATCTAAAAAAGAATAATTTGTTTTAACTTATCATTTTAGAAATTCGCTTATCATTTTTCACTTATCAATCCTTGGCTAAAATAACGCTTTTATCTCTTTGAAGAACGCTTGTCTAGCGTTCACCACCTGGCTTACTTCAAAACTCAAGAGGGCATATTATCAGCCCCTCTCGTTTATCTCTTAGAAATTATTTCTAAGAATGCCCGATCTTGGTTTGTAAATTAAAATATGGTACATGAGATTATTAATTTTCTTTAAGCTGACTGCACCATAACTGATGGTTATAATAAGCTTTGTTTGCATAAAGTATTCTCTCTACCGTATTTGCTCATGTATTTTTTCCTTTTTACATTATAAGTTATTTCTCCCGATTTCTTAGCATGCCTTCGTAGTGTAGTAGTCAGCACACTCGACGCTTATTCCAGTCCCGGCGATATCATTGCTCATTTGTCATCTGTCCTGCTTCGAAATAACCTAATGTCTCTACAGTGGTTCCCGAACTAAAAGGTGGTAAATGATGATTCTCCACCACCGAGATTTGGCGATTGGGTCCCCTAATGCCCAGTCGCCGTTTAAAAGGGGGTATATAGGGTATTTCTCCCATCTTCTTAAGAGGCGTTCGTAGTGTATTATTCAGCACACTCGACGCGAATTCGAGAGGTACGTGGCTCGAATCCCGGTGAAGGCATTGCTCATTTTTCACATCTCCCTGCTTCCAAAAAAACCTAATGACTCTACAACGTTCTTGTACGAAGCAAAGGAACTATTGTAATTGCGAAAGATTTCGCGTATCCTATTTCAACAAAAATATACGTTTTCACCATTGTCGAATACGTCTGAACGATGTTTTTGCATGACACCTCTATCTATGGACACGATAAAGGATTCTTTTTCCCAAAACGGATTGTAAAATGGGTTTAAAATGGACTGAACAGAAATCTTTTCGTGACGTCTGTTGCACATACTTAAATATGTATGCATATCGCATAACTAAAAGTCGAGAAGCCACAGAAAACTGAAATTCTGTACATGGGACCTCTACAATATGTAGGTTGGGCGTTTTCTTTTTTGGTTGCGATCCTCCGCACCCAAATATATATACGTATACTCTGTTAGCCGGCTTGTTGAGCTGAGGTTTTACTCTTACAAGTCGGTAAATTGTGCATGTTTTGCTTTAAAAGTGATTGAATTATATTGTTCTCATGTCCCGGTTAAGATTTCAATGGGTTGTTTAACCTGCATGCAATAGTTGTAGAATTATCAACAGTTTAAATCTTTTAAGTGGCGCTGAGCTTAACTGGGCTGACATTTGTTTACATTTGAAACTCTTAGAAGGATAGTTAATTAATCATTTGGTGCACCAACGTCAGCGTCTTTTTGCACAGTAGGATCAAAAATTAACTTTCAGTTTTGCGCACCGAAAAATCTGCCTTCCTGTCCGTTGGCCGAATAGCTTGTTTTCAACGAATAAAAACGAATTTGCATATCGAAAAGGATCCCTGCATGCTGAAATTTCTACGGAAAAGTGCAATCAATATACATGGGAGAACCCATTTAAAAAAGAAGCAAAACATACACTTAAAATCCTATGGGGGAATTCGTTAACGTTTTACAAAATATGAACTGGATGGCTCTAGGTAAAAATTTTCTTCACAGTGTGCGAAACATGCATATATTCAGACAGGTTCTACGTAGATTAAATAATGTACATTATTTAATTATTTAATTTCTTTCAATATAATACAGGGCCATAATATTTGGTAGCAACAATTTGAAAAGTTATATGCCATTTATAGTGATTCAACTCAAAATGTCTCTTCAAGAACCGCATTAGGGACTAACGTCCCTTTCGAGTTTAACAAAATGATTTTACAAGCAATAAAAAATTTAAAAGTTTTCAGATTTTATATTACACCCTAAGGGGCTTTTTTTAACATTTTGTGTGTCACCTTTATTTATTAAATATCATGTTCTCTGCACTTAGACCATAAAGTTAAATTGAACAGCAGTATCACAAAATAATTTAAAAAGAGCATATCTGTCAGAATTTTCCGATACACATTCTCGCGCCGCTAAAGATGATTAAAATGCTTTTTCCCCAGTACAGTGTTCGCCATTGCTCGATTTGAAATCGTTGAGTTTGTTGATCAAAAATTTCGTTAAAAGTTTTACAAGAATATGAAAGATATAATAAAACAAATTCCCAAATTCTAAATTTGGTCTTCTAGATGCCCATATTCGGTTGGAGGATTACGTTATTCAAAATTGGATGGCTCTAGTACCGTTGTTTTATCACAATGCGAGAAACATACAGACATTTATGCCGATTATTCATTATTTATTTTTTTTAATGTAATACAGGGCGATAATAGTTGGTGGCAACAATTTGAAAAGTGATTCGACGCAAAATGTCAAAACGAAATTAACAGCCCTTCTGCGCTAACGCCCTTAGGGTTAAAATAGGTGGAATTTCCTTTTTTTTTCTAAACAATAAAATACTGTTAAGCTCAGTGAGGATAAATTGCGTAAAATCCTGAGTATTCCTATAAAGAACATTGAATTTACTTTCTTCCTGTATCCGAAATTGTGGCTGTCATGCTACGAATGCTTATGTAAACTATCAAGTGTTTTCTAAAGGAGCATTCTGAATTCAAAATATGATTTTTTTTATTGGTACGTTATGCATTATACCTTAATATTAGCAAGTATATTCTCTCAATTTCATAATAAAATAAATAAATTTTCTGGATTTTTATAATATACTCAATATCCCAACTAAATTTTCATAATAATCAAGTTAATTATGTTATTATTCCTTCTCATTTTATTTTATGTTTTACAGTTTCTTTAATTTTCATATTAATGAGTATTTTTCTTTTACCCTAGGTCCAACTTCAAACTTAGAAAATTTTAGGACTTTAATGATGTGTGGATGTCCTGCAAAAATTCATAATTTTCAGTACATTCACAACATGGTTAAGAAAGATCTGTTCATTGCTAGTCAATATGGTAAGTCTAATCGTGTATTAACTATTCATGTATGAATGTTAGTTTAACATAAAATTACCATCTCATAATTACAACAGAAAGAAAATTTTAAAAAGTGTGAAAGTTTCAGATTTTAAATTACGTCAAAAGGGGCGTTTTTTTTTTAACGTTTTGTGTGTTAACGTTCTACGTACTCAAACCATAGATTTCATTTCAACAGCAATATCGCAAAATAAATTTAAAATGAGCATATCTTTAGAATTTCCGATACAGAGTCTCGCGCGCAGGAGATAAAAATGTTTTTTTTTTTTTTTTTTTTTTTTTTTTTTTTTTTTTTTTTTCCGTACAGTGTTGCCATTGCTCGCTTTGAAATCGTTTAGTCTTTTAATATAAAGTTCTTTGAAGTGTTAAAAAGTATGAAATCAATAATAAAACTAATTTCAAATTTAAATTAGAGCTTTTATATTCCCATATTCTATGGAAGATTACGCTATTCCAATTTTAATAGCATCGTTGTATCGTTGTTTTATCACAATGCTAGAATCATGCATAGATTCATAATAAAATAAATAAATAAATTCATAATAAAATAAATTAAAAAATCTTCATCATTTAATTTCTTTAAATATAATACAGGGTGATAATATTTGGTGACAACAATTTGAAAAGTGAAACAACGCCTAGCGGGAATCGACGCAAAATGTCAGAACGAAGCTAATAGTGCTTTTGGGCAAATTGCTCCTTAGAACTAAAAATTCTTGGTATATTTTGAATTTCAATCTACTAGTCATTAGTTACTCCCGTCTGATTACTTAGAATATTGTTCGAAATTTAATAATTTTTATTTTTTGACTATTTATAGAAATACCAATAAGCCCCCTTTATCTAACGAACTGAATTATGCACCAACTAAATTACTTGTGTCTTGTCCAACGTGCAGCCAATTAGTCGCTACATTTTTCTCTTCGCCTTTCTGAATCATATTAACTAAGATACTCAGCTCACTGTTAGAAAGAAATGATAACTAAATAACAATAAATGATAACTTAAGTTATAAGGTGTTTCTCCCACTTTCCTAGCGTCCTCCGTGGTGTAGTGGTTCTGCACGCTGGGCCGGTTTTCCAGAGGTCCGTGGTTCGATTCCCGGCGAAGGCGTTTGCTATTTTTCATCTTTTCTGCCTCTAAAAATATCCTAATAACTCTACAAAGTCAATAATAATTGAAGTAGGCATTTCATGACAGTTCGCAGAATGAGATTCGTTATAATAAAGGCTTAAAACATCCTATTAATTATATTATTGAAACTTTAAAATTCGCTATTTTAAATAGATAGACATAACATCTTGCTTTTTTCCCAAAATGAAAATTTTAAAACTAAGGATTCCATTTTAAATTGCTTTAGAAATCGTTGCCATCCTCAGTTTCAAAACAAAGAACAGTTAAAGTTAAACACTTTGCTATTTTTCAGTGTTTTCAAATACAGAATATCATAATAATTGGTTAATTAACAAAAATAGTATGTAAATTTACAGTCTTATTATTAAATTAATTGAAATTCATAAATAAATTTAAAAATTATTTTAAACATAATTTTGCAGTGAAATTTTATTTTTGCTCAAGACCAGATTATCAAAACAAATTAAAAATAAAATTACGTAGGTTGGGGCAAAAGTCATGGGAACTGTTTTTTTTTTTTTTTTTTTTTCCCTTAAAGATACCAGTCCGGTTGGAAAATGTGACATATACAGACGAAAGGACAAGGTCTTAACTACATGTGTGGACAATGAATAGCACTGAAATATCGTAACACATGAATTTATCACGGTAGTATACAAGGCAATATGGCCTTCACCGTGCAAAAGAATGATAACACAAAACACATAAAGTTGACATGAGAAACCTGGGCCTAAAGACCCTCAATGTCACCACACGCTGCCAACGATGTGGGAGGCGCTGAATACCATCAGCCTCAGCATTTGCCGCACCATGTGTGAATCGGGCCATCTGTTGGTGCACAGCATTAGCAATGTCCTCTCATGTTGCAAACCGCCTACCACGTATTGGTTCCTTAATCTTGGGAATGAGATCAAAGTCACAGAGCGAAAGGTCAGGAGAGTGCAGTTGGGTGCTCCAATTCTTCCCATCACCAACGTCGGAGTAGCTGATCTGCCGTACACACTCTGCTTTATGTGTTCTTGCACTGTCGTGCAGAATTATTGCACTGTCCAGAAGATCCGGAGGTTTATCCCGAACGCCATGTCGTACCTGTCGCACTAGGAAGTCCCTGTACTACTGCGCGGCCACTTCTATGTCGGTCCGCACACTCACCGGTCGTCCCGAACGTTCCTCATCACTGGTTGGCACACGTCCTTGCTGAAACTTCCCTACCCACTATGCTACTGTACGATATGGTAGGGCATTATTCCCAAGGGCTTCTACTAACTTACTGTGACATTCCATCGCATTTCTCCCTCGGAGAACGGCTATCTTGATGTAAGCGCGCTGTTCAACACGCATTACTTCCATCTCGCACGACACTCACCAACTGAAACTGATTTCAGAGCCCTCGCTACCACAGAGCCAGCTATCACAGAGCCATCTGTTGTTCTGCCTACACACTATGCCTGCAGAACTTCCCCACGACACATATACGTTTTGTGATCCGTTCACATATCTACCAAAAAAAAAAAAAAAATAGTTTCCATGACTTTTGCCCCAACCCTCGTATTATTTAAAAGTGCAATTAAATAAATGAAAAATACAAAATAGGAATCAGAAGTTAGAGAAATGAAATAATAACTTATGATTCAACATTTTTGATGCAACTAATAAGCTGATTTTAAGTTTTTTTTACTTATTCCGGTTACCTGAAAATCAATTATAATCTCTATCTCGCCTTTTCCACAGGAGCAACTGAAGCTTTTGCATGTTTCTCTGGATTCGATTTAAACATGCCATATTATGCTGGAGAAGTTCAGGCTTTTGGACTTGGTATGGACGTTCGCTGTGTAGATAAAAACGGTAAGTTTTCCCCGTATTTAGCTGTCTAGAGGAAATTCCGTAAGCATAACTTAAAGCTTCTATCCGAATTAGCAACGAATTTCCTTACACATTACAGAGTAAGTCATGCGCACATTTGGTACCACACATTACAGAGTAACTCATGCGCACAATGGTACAACAGAGAGTATTTACACATTTTTAGAATAATTTCGAGGCCGTGTAATTAATGTTTAAAATGTAAAACTTTTACTTTTAAGGGTTCGTTTGATAGACGTTTTTTCTGAGCCTTAATTCTGCATCGTAATTTCCATGACAGAAAGGCTTTTCGCAAAGCTTCCAAGAATAATGATTTCCACTACTTTCCTGAGTCCATCGTTCGTGGTGGATTTGCACTTAGAAAGAGTTTTTTCCCGAGACGTCAGAGGCACAATAGCCCATAGGGGAAACGTTCGGGGATTACGAAGGAATACGTTGACAAGGTATGTATGCAATATCTGTATCAGTTTTCATTTTTTCAAGGAATGCAGTGGTACTTTTCGAAATATAACATGTTGCTTGATGAAATTTCATTCTTAAAGTCAATAGGATAAAAAATGGAAATTTTACTGTCAAGTATCGGAAGTAAAAGTTTCTTTTGATAGTACTGTAAGGTATATTTTAATTTTATAACAGTTATATTAAGCTTGTGCTTTTTTCCTAACCTTCCTAGCTTCAACGTACAACTCCGTACCAGAATGAGGTTTTAGAATAGCGTTAAATGCAAATGAGAAATCGAATAGTATATCGAATAGTATTAATAGAGAAATCGAATAGTAAGTCAAGTTCCACTGACTTCGCCAGAGAGAGTTAGGATTCCTGAATAGAGCGCGTTTGCCTTTGGACTACATCTCTCTAACTGTTACTACGCTACGCCGTATTACGTGCCTTTTGAGAGCTTCGCTGGCTAATTTAATATTACAGGCCAACTAGTTTAGAATTGTGTTAGCTTCGGCTAAATCTCTTTAGTTATCCATTAGTTAGTTCTTATTTCTTATATTTAGAGTTTAAGCCCAAGTGGAGGCTTGGCTGTACGCCCTGGGAAAGGGGCCGACTGTTAATTCTTTATTTTGAGCAAACAAAGGGTAATAAACACTTCTTGAAATTTACGTTTCTGTTCTTGGAGGCTTTGCTGCACGCTCTGTAAAAGGGGCCAACTATTAAATCTTTATTTTGAGCAAATAACAGGTAATTAACCCTTCTTGAAATTCACGCTGTTCTTGGAGGCTTTACTGTACGCCCTGAGAAAGGGGCCGATGAATAAATGGTAATTAATCCTTCTCGAAGTTTGCGTTTATGTTCTTGGAGGCTTTGCTGTACACCCTGAGAAAGGGGCCAACAAATAAATCTTTATTGAGCAAGTAAAGGGTAATAAACCCTTCTCGAAATTTACATTTCTGTTCTTGGAGGCTTTCCTGCACGCCCTGAGAAAGGGGCCGACTGTTAAATCTTTATTTTGAGTAAAGTGTAATTAACCCTTCTTGAAATTCACGTTTCTTTACTTAGAGGCTTTCCTGCACGCCCTGAGAAAGGGGCCGACAAATAAAGGGTAATTAACCCTTCTTGAAGTTTGCGTTTCTGTTCGTGGAGGCTTTGCGGTACACCCTGAGAAAGGATAATAAATAAATCTTTATTTTGAGCAAATAAAGGGTAATAAACCCTTCTCGAAATTTACATTTCTGTTCTTTGAGGCTTTGCTGCACGCCCTGAGAAAGAGGCCGACTGTTAAATCTTTATTTTGAGCAAAGTGTAATTAACCCTTCTTGAAATTCACGTTTCTGTTCTTGGAGGCTTTGCTGCACGCCCTGAGAAAGGGGCCGACTGTTAAATCTTTATTTTGAGCAAAGTGTAATTAACCCTTCTTGAAATTCACGTTTCTGTTCTTGGAGGCTTTGCTGTACAACCTGAGAAAGGGGCCGGCAAATAAATCTTTATTTTGAGCAAATAAAGGGTAATAAACCCTTCTCGAAATTTACATTTTTGTTCTTGGAGGCTTTGCTGTACGCCCTGAGAAAGGGCCCGCAAATAAATCTTCATTTTGAGCAAATAAAATGTAATTAACTCTTATTGAAGTTTCTGTTTCTGTTCTTGGCCTTAAGCGATTATTTCCTAGCAGTTCACTAGGTTCTTTGACATTACATTTAAGAAGATAAAAGTGAGGAACTCTATAATATTTAGGTGATTTTAGCAGTTTCTTTCAGTGTCCTTATTTTTAATTTTCCACAGTAAGAGAATCCTGCGACAATCACAAAAACCTTGCTGAAATATTCTTTGTATAGACGGAACCAAGTTTATACGTTTTTTCTCTTCGTTTTTGCTACCTCTTGTTACGAATGATTTAACTTTGGAAACATAAGAAACAGTACATAGATTTTACTGGTCTTCGTTCTGAGTCTACATTTTATGTAGAAGATGGTTTCCACTGACGGACAGACTTCTTCCCATTGACTGTTTTTCTCTTTCCGATTAATAATAATGCTCAATTTGCGCTCATAAATTTTAATGAAGTGCATTTTATAGCATTTTTTAATTATGGAACATAAATATTTCGGTTCGGAAAGCGCAAAAACATATCGTTCAACATGTCGCTTATTTTATTGAGACATTTTGAAAAAGGAATAAATTTTTAAAAGGAAAATTTATTTTTATTGAATTTATTAAAAAAGGAAAATTAATTTTATTCCTTTTGAAAAAGGAATGAATATTACTTTTGGGGCCATCTGACTTCATACAGACAACCAAAAACAAAAGTACAACCATTAGGAAATGAACAAGAATCATTTTCAACCATTACGGCGGTCACGTTTCCGCAATGACTGTTGGCATTGTCATTTTGTAAATTTTCCGATGTGCAGATGGAGTGGCTGTGGACTCGATTTATTGACAGTACAGATACTGTATTCGCTGTGTTATAAAGGATGGACATAACAAGAATTTAACTTTTTATTTAAATTTACTTAAAATTTATTTTTGCTTGAAAAAACTTTATTTTTCCATTTAAATTATGCTATCATTTTTTGTTAAGAAATAAGGAAGCACTAAAGGACAACGATCATCATAATTCCATCCTGTATTAATCCACTTTCTAAAAATAAAAATATATCTCAAGAAATCATAAACTTCTCTTAGTTTTGAAGCGAACTAAGAATATTTTGCTGTAAGAGTCTTAGATTAGGTTTGGTTTATTGAAATTAGGGCAAAGCACACTACGGGCATCTGCATAAGGGGAGGGATGTTTTCGTGGAGGACTTTCTATGTTAAGCGTCTTAGGCTCTCAGTCTGGTTTTTGCATTAAAAGTCAGGAACAGTTAACTCCAATACCTTTAATCTGAAGGATGGCACTAAGACACACTGCAAAATACTATAAAAATGCTTTAACTCTCCTTTAACAAATTTGAAGCTTATATTGATTAAAGAACAGCTGACTTCAGAGTCTAAGACTTATTAAAGAGACAAGTCTTTAGATTTAGGCTAACTGAAGGGGCAAATGAGTGATCTGGTAAGCAAAGCTTTCAGAATTGTTCAATTCTGGCTTTAACTCAACTATAATGCATCTGTACTCGAGTTGAGTTACAGTTATGCAATTAACATACATGCCGTATTCTTCCCGTTTTATTTAAGTCATTTTCTTATAAACTTTTACAAAGCTTGTTTGTAGGTTTTGGATTTAGATGGTATTGAAAAAAATGTGAGAAAGTCCTAATATAAGAAAAAATACTCCTAACTTAGTTTTTACATTTAGCTTCACTTGTTTATTAAAAGTTTATAGTCTAGAATTAACTCTTTTTTTAAAAATTTCAGGACGTGATGTTGTCGGTGAGAGGGGTGAAATTGTTATAGGCACTCCTAATCCATCCTTTCTAATAAATTTGTGGAAAGATGTAGACAACAAAATAGTGAACGCGACCTATTTTAGCAAATATCCAGGTAAGATATTGTAATCCTTTCAGTAGAGCAATTACTATCAATTTAAATTTGAAACACTTAAACCAAACCGAAGTGGGTTGTAAGTTATATTCATTTGAATGCAGAAAAAAAAAATTTTCCAGGAATCTGGTGGCAGGGTGATGAAGGATGGATTAATCCAGCTACAAAAGGACTTATAGTGTGTGGAAGAAGGTGAGCATACGCTTAAAAAAACTTTTATACAGTGGTATAAAAAAGTAATCATTAGTCTCAAAATTCTAAAGACGTAAAAACCATTAAGCACCTTCACACTTGCGATACAGGATTTAGCCCTAGCCAGTGAGGGAAGGTAAAATTACGCATGCGTTAAGTGTGCAACTGATGCAGTTAAATCTTCAACTGAATATCAATTTCCATTTGCTTCGCTATGATTTGTCGGATTTTATACCATAATGTTGAAAAGTTAGAACATTTAGACAAAGTCCATACACCAGTTTTTCTGACGTAGAGATGTCTGGTTGCTTAGCAATGAAGTTAGACTCTTTTGACCGTAAAGCCAAAGAATATGAATGGCAGAAAAAGGCAAACTCTCGTAGACACAATGTAAACCAGCCTGGCTTCCCTCAGGTGACTTTCGAATCGAAGCCAGTATGCTGTATTCAGAATTTTATTTAAGAAAGACCTTGAGCATCATACCGGTGACAGTACAAATTTCCGCAGTTCCACTCCCAGTTTTGAGACAGAGCACCCCTGGGGGACGGGGCAGAGGGTCTCTCATCCCTCTTCCCATACCACAAACTCTCGAGAAAACTTTCGGCTCGCCGCCTGTTTAAAGTACCCCCACGCCACACAGACACTATACATTTCCAAACACCCGTCTCTTCTTCGGAATCGAAACCGGGACCTTCGGTACGGCAGTAAGACCCACTATCCCTGTTGGGAGGCCTTTAATGATACGGAATCCAGTTTTATGATACTTGAGCACCATACAAACGTTTCTTATGTTACCAAAAACGTATGTGAGTAACGCACAAGAAAATCTACATATGAAGTTAACTAACTTACTCTGCAATATAAATCTTATTCAAAGATTGAAAGCTACAAATCTGATAAACTTTTTCTCGACTTGCCAAAAGGTAAATATTCTAAGGTGTTGCAATATAATCGCTTTGTTTGGAAGTACTCGGGGACAGTCCCCCCCCTCCAGTAGTTAAGAATTAATAAATCTAAGAAAAGAACTGGATTGAAGATGAGCATCTTCTAATCGTCATGAATATATTTTCTAGCAGTTTTCCTCCGAGCTTACAAACTTTATCAAAATCGAAACCCTATGAGCTGTTGTAACTGAGAACTCTAGTAAGATATAGAGAACTTTTATAGTTGTTTACATAGAAATGCATATTTTTACTTTATGTGTCATACAAAAATGTAACCAGTAAAAAACGAGAAGAGGTTGTCATTATTTATTCTCAAGTTTTGTTCATCTTCGAAAAAGTTTGCATTTTTTTTTAATTTTATTTTTAGTTTAAGATAAAAGCTGTAGAGACATTATGTAATTTAGAAGCAGGAGATATGAAAAATGAACGTTTCCCTCGCCGGGACTCGAACCATTGACCTCTCGAATACGCGTCGAGCGTTTTGACCACTACACCACGAAGGCATGCTAAGAAGGCGGCAGAAATACCTTATAACTTTCCTGTGCACAGTGTTTCGTGTACAGACATTGCTAAAAGTTCAGAAGCATTGATTAGCAGAGTGAGTCCACTCCACGCACATTTATTTTCTCATCGCGTTTTCTAATATAAGATAAGAATTAAATTAGAGAGACAGTTTTATTTTTCTACTCGTATTGTTGATTTTCGTGATATTAAAATTGCTATAACATATACGATTAAATTTCAACCTTATGTTTTTATTTTTAGTGATGACGCTCTGATACAAAATGGAGAAAAATTTGGGGCTGCAGATGTGTATTTTGCTAGTAAGTAAACATTCCTTTTTCTGTTTTTTTTTTTTCTAATTCTTCGTTTCATATGTAGGTATTGAATATATCAGAATATTGAACTGTGGCAATAGCCGTCCAGACGGTATAGTGACTAGGGGAAGCGTGCTGCGGTACCGAAGGACCCGGTTCGAATCCTGGAGAAATCATGGGTGTTTGTAAATGTATAGTGTCTTTGCGGCATGGAGGCACTCTAAATATATGGCGTGCTAAAAGTCGTGTAGTTTGGTGGCAGGTTAGAGTGATAGGAGTCCCTCAGACCACCCCGGGAGGCTCTCCCTTAAAACTGGAATGAAGTAGAAGTCCAAACTCCTTGAGGCTCTGTCAATCATCCTGCCATGAATTACATGGACAAGAGAACTACAACACTCGAGTTCGATGAGTCACGACTAAGTAGACGATACTTGCTTGCCACTTTCCAGACAATGCCTAGTACGCCTGTGTCTACTATTCAGGAAACAACCCGCGCTATAACTGAATTTTCCTTTTACTTTTTCTTTGGGGGGGGCTATATTTTTTGTATGTACTTTAACAGTACAGCGATTTTTAAAAAAGTTAAGGAACAAAGAAAAGGGTTTGGATCGCCATGGTTAAAAAAAAAGATTGATGGAAAAGCATGAAATTGGCATGCATATCCGGAACTTTGCATCCGGGACCGAGAATGGAGGTATTTACGACTGCTAAAAAACAAGGACGCTAGTGCGCTAACATTACGAAGGGTGTGAATCTTCTTTCGAATAAAGATCAGAGACGTTAAAGACGTCAAATTTCTTACGACGGTATAGAGGAAACGTCAAAGATTTTTAAGCTAATTTTGTTAAACTTATCGAACGGGATTTATTCTTTTGCCCTCAGGGGAAAAAATAACGGTAAATTTGTTAACCAGTTCTTCCATAAATCACGAAAAGTATCCAATAAGTATCCTAAACTTTCATTGGTTATTCAGGTGATAGTATATATGGATATGATTCGTATATGTTTTCTTAATTCTACCACATAAGGATTAGAATTCTCAAGAATTTAAAATCTGATGTAAATTTTACAGAGAACTTTAACAAATTAACAAATCAAATCACTGTTTTAAGCGACAGAGTTAAGAAAACATCGCTTGCAATATCTTTTTGATTCCGGCTTGTTTTGTACAAAAATAATAATGTAGCGAAATACCAGCTGCGGTGAGACAGCTTCCCGGCAAAGCACCTTTAAAGTTGCCAGAAGGTTGCAAGGAAATGCGGGGTCGCCAGATTTGGCTGGAAATCAACCATTTGGTGAGATTTGGTGTCAGAATTGACGATATACTATAAACGGAGCGAGAATGGTCTAGAAAGCATTCTTAGCGGTTTTCTCGGAAATAAACTGGAAGGTAGGTTAAAGCTATATCTACCCTCCCTGGGAAAGAGCAGTGGCATGAGATCAGAGATTAACTTATTGATCGATCGAGTCGGGAGCAGTACTTAAGTGCTTTGCCGTGAAGCTGACTTCAGCGTTTGAACCTGAAGGCTATATTGCTGATTGTTTTAGAGTGTTTATCGTAGCTTTTCGACAACTGTAAACGTGTGTTTGGGACTGTCCTGTGTAATACTGGCGAATAAATTGTGTTTTTGTTTTTCATTAAGTATTAGCAACAGTTACCCCAAATCCGCGCACCCGTACAACGCAACATTAATTATGCATGTATTTGAAGAATTTGTATCAATTCTTTCGCTGTAAAATCTTATGTATGTATACATAAATAATTTTTAATATGTCATTAATTAAAGTAAGCAGAAAAAACACCTTTGTCTGAGGTAGATATGGAATAAAATTCCCTCAATTTTCAGGCGGTTCGGTAGCAGGTCCTTCTTTAACAAAAGTAAAAATAAAATTTGCTATTATTCATGCAAATACCTTTTTGCTCCTGAAGAAGAGGGACCTTTATCTTATCGCTATGGAAATTGACAGAATTTTATTCAAAACCTACGCCAAACTAAATTTGGTTTTTTAAATTTTACATTGGTTTGTTTCTCTTCCATATCATAAATTATTTTTTAATTTTTTCAATGCTCATAACACCTTTTTTTTTTTTTTTTTTTGGTAAGTAGCAGGGCAACCACCTGTACAGAAGCCGCCAAATTTTCAGAATGTCCGAAACCATGGCAACTTTGTACATAAACATTCTTCATGTAGCCACGCTCATAAAAACTGTTTATTCAAGCAACATCGCCATTTTTGTATTCATTCTTTTTATTGTAATCCAGACTTCAACTGTTTTTGTAGATAAATAGTGATATGTTTTGCTGTTAACTCAGTTTTAAAATATCGCTTGTAGAATTTGTCATGGTAGAAACTGCACTGAAAGTTCTACAAAAATACAGTACTTTGTCGCAAAAGCACTGAAGGGAAAAACGAGGTTGGTTTGGTAGACAGCCGATACGCATTGCGGAATCTGTGCAATTCAGTCATGTTTTTCAAGCAAAAACACATCGCTGTATACATGGAGAAAATAACAGCTCTAAAAATTATAGAAGGATTTAGAGAAAATGTGTTTTATTTATTTTAAATGTATCGTGTAATCTTTATTTAATAATTGAAATTTATTTAAAAAAGTTTAATGCAATTTCTTTTGCTATATTGATAATTATACCGACTTCGATAAACATTGATTGTCTGGAAAGTTTATTTGTTTATTTATTTTTTTTAAGTCACGAAAATCTTGAATTTTCACCCGATAAGTAATTTTTGCCTTTTCATTTACAAAAAGACCCCAAATTATGTCAAGGTGGTTGCATTAATACGTAAGTACGTTTTATTTTCATAAATCTTTTATTATAGGATAAATGTTTTCATAAAGCTTCCATTTTTTATATTTTACTCATATATTTTCAATAAATGTTTCGGAAACAAAATGCACTGGTAAATTGCCAGTAAATTAGTTTCAATTTGCAATTTATTAAATTACTGATAACGAAAAAAAATGGTAAATTTACAATTCTAAATCTGTATCAGGTTATTAATCTAATATATGAAACTACAAAATCATTTAGAACATATAAATTTCAAAATTTTTAGTTTGAAAGTAATCACCTGATTATTTATTTATAGTCCACGATATAGAAGAAATTATGGACTACATTTGTGTGAACCAGAGTAAAAAAAATGGACAATGCAGAGCTGTTCTGTTCGTTAAGTTGAAAAAAGGTTACAAATTCACTCCCGAACTTCATGAAAAAATCGCCAGTACCATCAGCAGAGAACTATTTCAAGACTATGTTCCTGAAGCCATTTTAGAAGTACCAGATATTCCTGTGAGTAATATTAAATATCTATCTTATTGTTTTCGTTTTTTGCGATTTCGCATCGATTCACTACAAACGGCGAATCACTTTTCAAACTGTTGCCACAATGTATTATCGCCCTGCCACAATGTATTTGTATGTTGCCACAATGTATTTAAAGAAATTAAATAATGAAAAATCTGCATAAATGTATGTCTATTTCTCGCATTGTGATAAAACAACGGTACATAGAGGCAATCCAATTTTGAATAACGTAATCCTTCCTAACCGATTATGGGCATCTGGAAGACCCTAATTTGGAATTTGGAATTTATTATCTATTTAATATTTTGTCTGACATTAAAGACTTTAGAATTTTTGGATTAACAAAGTCAATGATTTCAAAGCGAGCAATGGCAACACGTTGTACAGAAAAAGCATTTTTATCGCGAGACTGGAGACTGTGTATTCGGAAAATTCTAAAGATATGCTCGTTTTAAAATTATTTTTTTAAAATTATTTTGCGATATTGCTGTTGAATTGCATTTATCGTTTAAGTGAGAAGAACATGATATTTAATAAATAAAAGTAACACACAAACGTTTAAAAAAAAAAAAAAAATCTGAAATGTTTCAGATTTTAAATTACGTCCAAAGGGGCGTTTTTTAACATTTTGTATGTTACCTTCTTTATTAAATATCATGTTCCTCGCACTTAAACCATAAGATCCAGTGCAACAGCAATATCGCAAAATAGTTTTAAAACGAGCATATCTTTAGAATTTCCGATACAGAGACTCACGCGCTGGAGATAAAAATGTTTTTTCTGCACAACTTTGCCGCACAACGTTGCCATTGCTAGCTTTGAAATCCTTGAGTTTGTTAATCAAAAATTCGTCATTCAAAGTTTTAAAAAATAGGAAATCGATCATAAAACAAATTTCAAATTTCAAATTTGGTCTTCCACATGCTCATATTCGTTGGAGGATTACGTTATTCAAAATTCGATGACTCTATGTACCGTTGTTTTATCACAATGTGAGAAATATACATACATTTACGCAGATTTTCATTATTTAATTTCTTCAAATATAATGCAGGACTCTAACATTATGTGGCAACAGTTTGAAAAGTGAACCGACATTTATGAGTCCGACGCAAAATGCCAAAACGAAACTAATAGTCCTTCGGGATTCAAATCCCTTTGGACTAAAAAAAACGCTCCTTTGGACGTAATTTAAAATCCGAAACATTTCAGATTTTTTTTTTTTTTTACTTTTTTCATTGTTTTTTACTCCCTTGTACGAAGTAAAAAGGAAGTATTGTAATCGCGAAAAGTTTCAGGCAGCATATTTCAACGAAAATATCCATTTTGACCGCTTTCGAATGCAATTTAATGATGCTTTTGCGTGATATCTGTTCGTAAGGACAGAATAAAAGACTCTTTTCCTCCAAAAAAATTATAAAACTGTTTTAAAATGAATTCTGAAGAGAGTTTTTCGTGGCGTCTGTACGAACGTATGTACGTACGTACATATCTCGCATAACTCAAAAATGAATAGCCTCAGAACGTTGAAATTTTGTACATAGAACTGCTATAACATGTAGATGTGCACCTCGTATTTTGGTTGCAATCGGCCGCACCAAACGTATATAAATATATTTATATAAATATGCACTCTGTTACCCGGCTCAGTGATCTCAGTTTCTTTACTCTTATATGTTTGTAAATTGTACATTTTTTCCTTTAAAAAAATTATTAAATTATGTTATTCTTTTCTTCCGGTTAAGGTTTAGTGCCTTTAGTCAATCTGTATGCAATATTTTTAGAATTATCAACAATTTTAAAGTTGTTTAAGTGCCGCTAAGCCTAATAATTTTTTGATGGCGGCCATTGCTTGTTTACACTTGAAACAGCAGAATAGTGGATTTGTTGCGAATCTAGAGAAACGTAGCTTCGCAACAACAAAAATAACGCCTTCATTTATTATTGCGAATTAAATCGTGCTTAATCCTTTTTGGATTTTTTTCGGAAAAATAAGTGTTTAAGATTCACTTCGTAATTTTTAATACAGATATTTTGAGTTTTTTATGTATTTTTGCCTTGTCGCAAAGTGAGAACTGAATTAATTGAATGAGAAATACTCAATCTTCTGTGAAAAACTGTTTCTTTTTTGTTTTGTTTACTTAAATTCTTCTATACGTCGGTTTAGCTTTATTATAGTATTTGAATAGAACATGTGGCAACGATTAGATGATTCTTGAAATGATATAATTTTTTGTGCATTCTGAGTTATAATATAAACGAAATGTAATACTGTTAAGTGAACTTAGAGCCAGAGTGTCGCTATGGTAAAAAAAAAATACTAGAGTGAATTTTAAAGATTGCATTTATTTTATTGTGGTTTATGCGCTGTCGGCGAAATAGATTTAATTCAATCCAATAAGTTGAACGAAATGCAAGAAAAAAAGGCGTATAATTTAATATTCCGTACAAGGAAGTCATGTGGTGTACACATCAGATTTTTTTTTTTTTTAAACAATTACAGAACTCCTCGTTCTCCACGAAGTATTGCACGAGGCTTAAAGATGTAAGTAAATAACTCATAGTACAAGGAGATACAATTCAACAATAAAAATATAATATCTAGGTCTGGAGAGACCACAGAATCAATGTAAAATATAAATGCTATTACAGTAAAAATACTAAAATATAACACGAATAATTAAACTATGTTAATGCTTCTATAAAAAAATAAACCAACTTAATAATAGTGCAATAATAATAAAAATGAAATAATACTGATACAAAGGGAGAATTATACATCAGCAGTACTGTACTGCTGATATATCATTGAGGATTGATTGATTACGTTACCTAATCATAAACAGACAATATGCAAAATAATACTATGACGCATAAAAGATAAAAATCCCAATCATGTAAATAATAATACTGAAAGTTCACAAGAACAAATAAAATCGAGCAAGACTGCAATTGCTTCGGAGCCCCTAACAAGATCATGGAAAACAGGAGGCCAGAATGGGAAGCTGCTCTAAATCTCACTTTAAATGCACTTCTGGCACTGGCATGCAACCCTACAATGCAATAAAATGTGTTTCTCATCTTCCACAGCATCGCCGCAAGCACGAAGTCCGCTAGTCACAATACTGAAAAAGGTAAATACCAAAATTACCATGGCCGGTCAAAATATTTTAACTAACTTTATCTTCCGAAAATGGAGAGAAGTAAACTTCTGCGAGTCATTTACCTTCAGAAAAAAGCGATTACACTTAGAACATAACAAAATGTATAGTATCAGTAGTAGATAAGGCTATAGTGAGCTGGAACGTAAGTAACAGAATTAAGGTGACGTTGCATGTTTAGAAAGTTCTTAAGTATAAGAACTCCTACCATATCTTGGTAGCTTAACAAATATTCAGAGCAAAATAAGTTTCAAATAATAAATGGAATAAAAAGTGGGTGAAATGCTAATATAAAAATGCAAATACAGATTGAATAAATTAAATAAAAATAAAAATAATCAAAATAATAACAATTTACCGATAAAGTAGCCTTTAAAATGGATGAGTATAATAAAGGAAAGGGAAATTATGGGTAATTTTCAGAACCTAACGCTGAAAAGGCTAGGGAAAAAGCACGGGGGGAAAGGCGGTATAGGGATAATGTCAAATATCTGTAGTATTTCTTTGTTAACATAATTACATTGTTCTTGCATGTGATTAATAAAATGTCTTTTTATACTTTCAGTACAATGTAAATAATAAAAGAATGGAAAGTCTTGTTCGACAGATCGTGGCAACCAACCAGCTTCCTGAAGTGAATAACATCAGAAACCCGGATTCTTTAAAACATTTTATCGACATACCTGAAATACTAGAATACGACGTGCTGTGAAAAATTTGGGAATTGGGGTGTTTCTCCTGTGAACGCTGGAACAATCTGAAGAGAAACCAGAAATGCAGAATAGGGTATAATTGGACTGGAAAGAGATGTACTTCAGAGCAAGAACTTTGATTTTTTTTTCTTTGAATATACAAAAGCATACTTCTGCCAACATTAGCTGGGAACGAGCTAAAGTCTCATTTACTTTTATTCCAAATTATAGTTTAATTGTGATATAACAAATATTTCATGCACTGTTATTTATTTTTAAATTAAACTTTACCTGTTAATAAATTTAAGTATGTATGTGTAGTATTTTCGCAAATGATCACACTTTACAGTTGCATAAAATTGATAAATAATTCACCATCTATGAAAGTAATGTTTAAGAGAGTTTTTTGGTTTTAAAAAATCAGAAGCCAGGGACAAAACACGTTCATTAATTTTCTAGTTTAAAGAAAGCACTGTTAAAGGAACCCAATTTAGAAGTCTGGGGCTAGAACTGAAACATATTTTATAATTATACTACTAAAATCAGAAGCGGAATAAAAATGGAGATAAAGGACAAAAATGTTCTTTAATATTACTCATGAAAAGAGAATCAAGCTGAATTTACAAAACCGGAGGACACTGAGGTCAAATACTAAGCTTTTTCTGTAATTTTTCGACTAAATACGCTGTTAAAAGAGAGTCAAGCGATAGGAATATAAATAAAATGAGGAATATAAATAATGGTTCCTCTTCCTTATTTTGTTTGAATAACAGAAACTGCAGATACCGAATCAGCGGATGCGATGGTAAAACGAATACGATTACTACTCTAAGGAAGGAAAAATCGCTAGATGTAATAAACTGCAGATTATCAAAAGGAATTTGAGTTTAAATTTAGCTTTGTAATTATCTTTATGTTTTTTTTTTAATTTTATTTTTATTTATTTACTTTTTCCCCCTTAATCAATATTACGGCAAAGCACGCAATGGTGTCGATTAAAGAGGGGGATGCCTCTTGAATGATTTTTTGAGGGAAAGCAATTTTTATCCACGTTACATATATTGAAAAACCACGAAAACGGCAAGGCAGCCAGGCCATTCGCTTTGATTCGACTGCATACCGAACTAAATGTGTCCAGCAACATCCCCGTTATGTCGCTGTTAGGCCCAAATACACATCTTTAGATTCTTCCTTTGCAAATTCTTATAGTTCTTTCGTTGATCTTCTTTATCAATATTCCATAAACTGGATGGGAAAAAATCACCACTGTGGAATTTTAGTAGTTCACAACGTTTACATAACGTCGAGTGCATCGCAAGTTGTAGCGTGGAGAGTCCTCGAGAGTACGGGGAGTTCCGAGAACGACCAAGCAGAGTCGGGGCTGTACTCCGGAAAGCAGTGTCGGGTGTTTTGCAGGAAGCTGTCTACACTGTGATAGCCTGATAACCTAAAGGCTGTGTCGCTGAACGTGTCAGCGTGTTTATAGTAGATTTTCGACGACTGTAAAAAGTGTTCTTGGAGCTGTCCTGATTAATATTGGCTAAATAAAGTGTGTTTCGATACTTCATCAAATGTTGTCGTTTAACGATGTTCATGCTAATATAAAATCTAATACCTAAAAACGTATAAAATACATACTTCTAAATTTGTCTTCAAGCATTTGCACTAATCCTTCATACTGAAAGCGACTTGTCTTTTGGCTTCGTCGGATTTTAACCATAGATTTAACATCAAATACCTGACCTGCATATTAATTAAGTTTATAGCAATTTTAAGCAAATTACAGTGATTAAAATCTGATCTATGTTGGGGGGAGGGGTTTATTTTTATCTGCCTAAAGGGGGATACTTTCGTGGAGGAATTTTTAGGGAAAGTCAGGTTATCGTATACACAAAGGGTTCCCAAAGTGTACGCCGTGAAGCGTAAAAGTGCCCCTGTTTATTCTTTTACGGAATCTAATTTTCAATTTCGTACACTGCCTAAATCGGTCGTTGCGTAGGAAACCGACATTGTAGCCCCGCGTACAGACTTCGGGTTGGTTTGATAACGCCGAACTCTTTGCTAGCCGACGCGAGACATTTCCAGAAGCCCGCATTCGACCGTTGCGTCGCCTCGACAGGATTTGTCTCGATCGCTCATCGCGAGCACCACGTGCTATGTAGACCCATTGCATCACCCATACGGAAGCACTTGCATCGAAGTCGATGAGCTGTAAATTGACTTTGGCATTGGCACGTATCATAGATGTAGTAAACTGCATAAAAACTAGGCCGGTAAATTAGGCCAGATTATTCAAAAAACTTTGCACGGATATAGGAGCTGAATACTGCTATATTACTGTAACTCACAATGGCTTTAATAATGATAATATAATATTGTTGTGTATCAGTTCAATATATACCTACATAAGCCTCATACTGTGGTTGTTTTCATTTTTGTGCCTGGTTACTAGTATCAATAGAGGGTCTTATTTAATGAAGTGTTGTGTTTGCTATGACAGTATGTAGTAAGCAGGTTGTAAAGCACAAACCTTGTACAACACTTCGTTGAACACTACTAGAGCCCTGTGTAAACCTGTAACTGCGCTGGGAGCTGAAAAAGTTTGGGAACGCCTGGTATACACGTTACACATGGAAAAAATCACGAAAATGCTCATACAGCTTTGCCATTCACCTGGATTAGAAGCCCGGACCGAACTACCAGTGTTCAGGATTTTACTGCTCGGCTGTTGACGAGCCTAAGCAGTCATTGAAAATGTATGTAAGGTTCTGCACTACGCTTTTTACCCTCCATGAATAATAGACCTCTCCTGCCTTCCTTTCCTAAATCGTAAAAAATAATGAAAAAAGAAACATCCGTCGAGCCGGAGTCGAACCAGCGACCTATGGATTACTGTTAACAACCACCTACAGTCCACCGCTCTGCCAACTGAGCTATCGACGGACGGTTATTAGTTCAACTATATGTTGAAACAGCGAGAACTGACCTGTTTTTCTGAACAGAAATTTATTACTCATGAATGACTAATTAGTTCATGAATGACTAATTTTGTTGCGCGGTGCCATTGCGCATTATCTCTTTGCATTAAACACTACTTGTAGCATCATACTTTTTTCTATTTTAATTATTTTCCGAAAATTTATTCATAATTATATAATTATTAATAAAAATTTATGTAGTTAATTACTGTAAACTTGTTTCCCCTCTTGGGGAGAGCAGCCGGACCTGTTGAAATCGTAAAATGGAATCAAAAATATAAATCCGTCGAGCCGGAGTCAAACCAGCGACCTATGGATTTCTGTTACAAACCTCTACAGTCCACCGCTCTGCCAACTGAGCTATCGACGGATGATAAGTGGCGAACTGAATGTTCAAACAAGGAAAATTGGCCTATTTTTCTGAACGCAAATTTATTCATGAATGACTTTCTTTACAAGTTTGGGAGAAAGAAATCATTTACTTACTTCTATTTTATAATAGTAAATAATTGTAAATCAGAAGCGCATGAATAATTTTGAATACTTAGAAATTCGTTGTGGAATGCATGGAACAAAATGAGGTCAGGAATCACATTTTAAATCCACACTTCTCAAAGGAGTTTCCACTAGTTTTCAACGCCTTAAAAAATATTATGCTTTCATAGTTAAAACTAAAATTCATAATAATAAGTCCATTGGTCCAATAGATGGTACATCCAATAGGGACTAATTTATTTTCAGTCACATTGTTTAAACAGCATCTGGCATAACGAAACTAACTGACAGTTTAAATGAATATGTACTCAGTTTAATCAGCCAACAGTTTTAAATAACAGAGACAGATGGCGACACGAGTCAAAGGAAAGAAAATTTCTAGGTGCAGGGTTTCTCAACCGGTGGTACGCAAAGAAGCAAAATATTTTTAATTATTAAATTCAAAAATTAAAATCCCAACATTCTGAATGATTTTTTTTCTCTAACACTCGTAAATTTATGCAATCTCAGTAGATTTATTCAAGAGTGATGATGGTAGTAGTATTTTGTAGTGGTGGGTACTAAAGGTTTTCAATTTTTGTTTATCTAAGCAATTACGCGTTAGTAAAAAGGCTAAGAACCGCTGTTCTAGGATAATAAAGACAAGAAAATGAGTGAACTGATTTTTAGAAAACAAAACCGCGAATGCACTTCAATTTTGTATTTTGTTGAAATATGGTGTTGCAAGTATTTTAAGATTTTAGTTATTTGAAGTCGGAATTTACGTTATTTTCATTACCGTTAAAAATGAACGTGAAAAACGCAGCGGGAAATTTACAAACAGCGCTAATTAATTTACAGTGTGATACAAATCTTATTCAAAGATTTGGAGGCACAGATTTGTTTAACTTTCATTCGTACATTGTTAAAAAATAAATACTCTCAATTACTTGTCAAAAAATAAGTGCTTTCAGTTACTTGTTTGTGAAAATTCCATGACACTGTTTGTGAAATTCCCAGTCTAAACTTAGTTTTTCTCTGACTGCAAATATTAAGAATATTAAAATCTTATAACAGTTTATACCCCTCCCCTCCTCTCGGTTTAAGTGCCTTTTCGTTTGGCATTTTTTGGACAGGTTGCAAGTTAACCCTGCAACAAATTTTAAAAAATCCCTTCTTTCAGTGATTCCTTTAAATTTTAAAACTTAACATTTCTAGGTAGCAGAAAGATGGCCCTTTTTCTTTTTTGTCGTCCTGCCAGTTTTTTTTTTTTTTTTTTTCATGATTACAAGCAAGGCAAAATGCTTCCCTTGCCTTTCCTTCAACTTAGAATTACTACTTCCTTTCCATCCAAAGACACTTAATGTACGACAGCCCGCCAGCGGCTCAAGTCGCTAAACACTGATAGTTCGGTTCGAGGTTCGAATCCTGCGAATGAGCTGGCTGCATTGGCGTTTTCGTGGTTATCCCCATGTCTAACGTGTACAGGAGCCAGTTTCCCTTCGAATGTCCTCCACGAAGACATCCCTCCCCTGAGGCAGATAGCTCTCGAGGCTTTGCCGTAATCGCATAAACGAAACCAAATTTAATGTACGACAAAGTTAAGAATATTTCACGACCTTATATATATATATATAACTTTAAGTGGACATAATGTGTTTAATCCCAGAGTGAAGATTTCGAATATGGAAAGCTTAAAAGATGGGATATAGAAGTTACACATCCACCTCCTATCAACTGGTATTCGAGAAAGAAATCTCACTCATTTACAGTGTCTCTATACTAAAGGATTGTTTTTGTTTAACCTTAAAATAAGAAAATTCTGTTCCTCTGAAAATTGGTCCCCAATTCTTTG